GATGAGGGAATACTTTCAAACTCATTCTATGAGGCCAGCATCACTCTAATACCAAAACAAAGCAAAGATACCACAAAAAAAGAAAACTACAGACCAATATCCCTGATGAACATAGATACAAAAATACTCAACAAAATATTAGCAAACTGAATTCAAAAATACATCAAGAGAATCATACACCATGATCAAGTGGGATTCATCTCAGGGATGCAAGGATGGTACAACATTCAAAAATCCATCAACATCAACCACCACATAGACAAAAACAAGGACAAACACCACTTGGTCATCTCCATAGATGCTGAAAAAGCATTTGACAAAATTCAACATCCATTCATGATAAAAACTCTCAATAAAATGGGTATAGAGGGTGAGTACCTTAACATAATAAAGGCCATATATGACAAACCCACAGCCAACATGATACTTAACAGCAAAGAGCTGAAAGCTTTTCCTTTAAGATTGGGAACAAGACAAGAATTCCCACTTTCCCCACTTCTGTTCAGCATAGTACTGGAGGTCCTAGTGACAGCAATCAGACAATACAAAGAAATAAAAGGCATCCAGATTGGTAAGAAAGAAGTTAAACTCACTTTTTGCAGATGATGTAATAGTGTACATAAAAAATCCTAAATCATCCACTCCAAAACTACTAGATCTAATATCTGAATTCAGCAAATGTGTGGGATACAAAATTAATGCACAGAAATCTGTTGCATTCCTATACACTAAAAATGAACTAGCAGAGAGAGAAATCAGGAAAACAATTCCTTTCACAATTGCATGAAAAAGAATAAAATACCTAGGAATAAACCTAACCAAGGAAATGAAAGACCTATACTCTGAAAACTACAAGACACTCATGAGAGAAATTAAAGAAGATACCAATAAATGGAAACACATCCCGTGCGCATGGATAGGAAGAATTAGTATTGTCAGAATGGCCATCCTGCCTAAAGCAGTCTACAGATTCAATACAATTCCTATCAAAATACCAACAGCATTCTTCAATGAACCAGAGAAAATAGTCCGAAAATTCATATGGAACCACAAAAGACCCCGAATAGACAAAGCAATCCTGAGAAGGAAGAATAAAGCAGGAGGAATTATGCTCCCATCTTCAAGCTCTACTACAAAGCCACAGAAATCAAGACAATTTGGTACTGGCACAAGAACAGACCCATAGACCAATGGAACAGACTAGAGAGTCCTGATATGAACCCAACCATATATGGTCAAATAATACATGATAAAGGAGCCATGGACATACAATGGGGAAATGACAGCCTCTTCAACAGCTGGTGTTGGCAAAATTGAACAGCTACATGCAAGAGAATGAAACTGGAGTATTGTTTAACCCCATACACAAAAGTAAACTCAAAATTGATTAAATACTTGAGTGTAAGTCATAAAACCATAAAACTCTTAGAAGACAACATAGTCAAACATCTTCTGAATATAATCATGAGCAACTTCTTCCTAACCCATCTCCTTGAGAAAAAGAAACAAAAGCAAAAATGAACTCATGGGACTACATCAAACTAAAACGTTTCTGTACAGCAAAGGACACCATCAATGGAACAAAAAGGCATCCTACAGTATGGGAGAATATATTTGTAAATGACATATCCAACAAGGGCTTAACATCTAAAATATATAAAGTACTTACACACCTCAACACCCAAAAAGCAAATAACCCGATTAACAAATGGGCAGAGGATATGAAGAGACAGTTCTCCAAAGAAGAAATTCAGATGGCCAACAGACACATGAAAAGATGCTCCACATCACTAATCATCAGGGAAATGCAAATTAAAACCACAATGAGATACCACCTCACACCAGTAAGGATGGCCAGGATCAAAAAGACTAAGAACAACAAATGCTGGCAAGGATGTGGGGAAAGGGGAACCCTCCTACACTGCTGGTGGGAATGTAAGCTAGTTCAACCATTGTGGAAAGCAATATGGAGGTTCCTAAAAAAACTCAAAATAGAAATACCATTTGACCAGGAAATCCCACTCCTTGGAATTTACCCAAAGAATACAACTTCTCAGATTCAAAAAGACATATGCACCTATATGTTTATCGTAGCACTTTTTACAATAGCCAAGATACGGAAGCAACCTCAGCGTCCATCTGTAGATGAATGGATAAAGAAGATGTGGTATATATACACAATAGAATACTATTCAGCCATAAGAAACAAACAAATCCTACCATTTGCAACAACATGGATAGAGCTGTAGGGAATTATGCTCAGTGAAATAAGCCAGGCAGAGAAAGCCATGAGAGAAATGATTTCGCTCATTTGTGGAATATAACAGTGAAGCAAAACTGAAGGAATAAAATAGCAGTAGACTCAGAGACTCCAAGAAGGAGCTAGTGGTTACCAAAGGGGAGGGGTGTGGGAGGGTGGGTGGAGAGGGAGGGAGAAGGGGACTGAGGGGTATTATGTTTAGTACACATGGTGTGGGAGATCACGGGGAAAACAGTGGAGCACAGAGAAGGTACATAGTGAATCTGTGGCATCTTACTGCACTGATGGACAGTGACCGCATTGGGGTATGGGTGGGGACGTCATAATATGGGTAAGTGTAGTAACCAGATTGTTTTTTCATGTGAAACCTTCATAAGAGTGTATATCAATCGTACCTTAATAAAAAAAGTTTTTTAAATGATTAATGAAACAATGTCTGTAAAACATTTGCCATACACTTAGTAGATGCTCAGTAAATAATAGTTATCAATGGTAACTATTATTTACTGAGTCCTGCCCATCTTCTCCTTAGACTCCTCTCAAGACAGTGGACATCTTACCACCACCAAGTGGAGATACATGAAGAAAAAAACTGACTTTCCTGACCCTGAAAAATCCTCATTAGCTATATATACTTAAGGAAGTTATTTGACTGGTTTTTTTATCCCTCCGTTTCTTTAACTGAATATGCCACATGTAATTAGTATAGTCATACATAGGAATAAAAGTATTTTGAACAAATACACATTTTGAAAAGATATATTCCTTTTTTTATTATTTGTTAAGAAGAAATGTGATTTCAAACATTAAAATATTGAAATTAATTGGGGGCTGAGACCATAAATAGTGTAAAATAGCAAACTCTCACTTTTAGCCACGATCGTTAACATTTTCCTTTCTTCATCCTTTATTCCAGAAAAGATAAATTGTTAAACAAGTTGTTGGAAATTTCATCACACCTTCTGCCCCTATCTATTATGGTAATAGTGTAACTAAGGAAGTGAGCAGCTGGTATAAGAAGCCCCAGTAGTCAGGAAAATCTATATCCTGTACAGCACAGCTTTGGATAGTTGTGATTAGATTTTTTTACAATTTATCATCCATCTTAGACTGCAGACTATTAAAAGTAGCAAATGCATTAGCATTCTGGAGAAAAGAGAAGATTGATCACATACATATCTAATTTCACTTCCTCTAAATTCTACAAAAATAATCGTAAAAATATTGTTTTAAAACATATAAGAGAAAAAGAATGAGAGAGGAAGCTTTGCAACAAAATATTGCAAGCTGTGAATGAGTGGTAATTGATTCAGAGAGCTGATTAGACTTTATCCTAAACATGCGGAGGGGAAGCTAAGAAGGAACCCAGTTCTACTACATAACCTCAGAAAGATCCCGAGTTGGCTGCCCTAGCTGCCTCAGAAAGTAGGCGCAAACATAGGGCTCCTGAAGGACCGAGTTAACGTCTGTTTAAGAACCAGTTAGAAGCTCAGATAACTCCCTCTCATTCCGAGCAGCAGATCAAATGTTCCTCCACTGCCCCACCCAAATGCTGGAAGTTTACTCTATGGAGATAGAAAACAGCTTCTGGATGAGGGGACATTAGACACAGTCAAGGACAGGGGTATTGTACTGAATTCAGAAATATTAACAGTATATTTAAATACTGAATGTTGAGAAGGTGTCCACACACACCCTTCCCCTGATTAGTTACAGAATGAAGGGAGCCATGGCTATATCTTAGAGCAGGAAATTGGGAAATACTTCTCTAGGGAACATGAGTACTTCCCCATCTGAAGATACCCACAAAATTTCCCTGTGAAATCACCCTTCAGTGAATCCCATAGTCAACAAGCCCAAAGCTTCCGATCAGCTCAGAGCTCTTAAATATGAGCAGGTAGCCAAAGATCACCATGTATCTGAAGGAAAGCCTGTAGCAAAGAAGAGAAAGAATAAAACAAAGGAACTGGGGGGAAGGCAACTTGGAGAAATAGAGACCTCTAGACAAAATAATGCCTTAGTTAACCACAATTAATGTGTTATTTTACTCATAAGAAAAGAGCAAGACACTATCTGACTTTAAGACTTCCTATAAAATTACAGTAATCAAGTCAGTGTGATATTGGTGAAAAATAAACAGATCAGTGAAGCAGAAGAGAGAGCCCAGAAATAGACCCCCATAAATACAGTCAACTGATTTTTGACAAAGGAGCAGTTATCACACAGTGGAGCAAAGATAGTCTCTTCAACAAATGGGGCTGGAACAATTGGACATTCATGTGCAAAAATGAACACAAAAATTAAGTCCAATGTATCACAGGCCAAATGTAAAACACAAAACTATAAAACTCACAGAAGACAACATAGGAAAAACCTAGTTGACCTTGGGTATGGTGGTGCCTTTTTACCAAAGACACAATCTATGAAAGAAATAGTTGATCAACTGGGCTTCATTAAAATTAAAAATGGGGGAGCTATACACCTGTGAGAACAGGGGATAAATAGGAAATACCTGTACTTCCCTCTCAATTTTGCTGTAAACCTAAAACTGCTCTGAAAAATGAAGTCTTAACAAGCTTAAGAAAAAAATAATAAGATGTTCTATTAAAAAAGAAACAGTTGGGAAGCAGAAGTTCTTGGAAATAACATGTATAAATAGCAGAAATGAAAACTCAATAGAAAGGTTGGAAAATAAAACTAAGGAAATCTTCCAGAAAGTAGAAAACAAAAACACATAGATTGCTCACTTCAGCAGCACATATATTAAACTGGAATGACCCAGAGAAGATCAGCATATCCCTCAAAATAAGGACACACAAATTTGTGAAGCATTCCATATTAAAAACAAAACAAAGAAAAAAAACAGGAAATAAGTGCTGCTGAGGGGAAATGAGGAAAAATTGGAACCATTATGCACTAATGGTAGGAGTGTAAAATGCTGCAGTCACTATAGAAAACAGTCTGGAAATTCCTAAAAAAATTAAACATGGATTTATCATGTGACCCAACAATTCCACCGCTGGGTATCCACTGAAAAGAATTGAAACCAGGGGCTCAAACAGATACTTGAACACCAATGTTCATAGCAGCTTTATTCACGGTAGCCAAAAGGCAGAAGCAACCCAAATGGACAAACAAAATATTATATATGCATAAAACAATATTCATCCTTAGGGAGGAAATTATGACACATACTACAAAATGGATGAACTCTGGGGACATGATGCTGAGTGAAATAAGCCAGACATAAGAGGACAACTTTCATGATTCCACTTATGGAAGTTCTTAGAATAGTTAAATACATAGAGACAGGAAGAAGAATGGAGGCTACCAAACCCTGGGGGAAGGAGGTAGTAGGGAGTTATTTTTTAATGGGTGCAGAGTTTCAGTTTAACGATGAAAAAATTCTAAATATGGAGAGTGGTGATGATTGTACAAAAATTAAATTTCCACTTAATTGTACACTTAAAGTTAGTAATAGCAAATTTTATGTTATATATTTTACCACAATTTTTTAAATGAGCAATTTAAGCCTATAGCTTAGAGATACAGAGTCAAATACTAAGAAAAACAACTCTTAAGAGTCGGAAGTATTTTTCTCTGAGGATGGGAAAATGGTGGGAGAAGGGAAGTTGTTTTCCAAACAAGCTTTGTAAAGTTATTTTATCTTTAACTTATGTGCACGTAAAATCTTGATATTATAAACAAATAACAATCATAATAAATTTGAAATAATTTTAAGTCCTTCAGTTTTATAGATAACCAAACAATGGAGAGAGTAGGACCTCTGGACAAGGTAATCCAAAAAACAAGAAGCAGATAAAGGAGTTGAACCACCATGTTATCAATCCAAGTTCAGCATTTTACCACCATAACACACTGCACCCTATAATAGCATCTTGCTGAATATCCTAAAATAAACTTCTGGGAGTTCTGCCTTAAGCCTTCTTAAATTCTTTTCTTCATGTTTTATTAAATGCTTAATAATGCTACAGATTTGTCCATTTTGCCTAGCCAGTGTTTGTTAAAAATTAACTTTTTTCTCATCCCAACACAACTTTTGAAGTTACACAGTTTTCCTCATTTTCTTCTTGATCTTCATAATTCAAATTGAATGGGATTTTTGAGTCCTGCATTCCATGTTGCTCCCTAAATGGTTGGAGAGTCTTTTCTATTGATGAGTAAGACACTGTCCTTTAATTCTCACGCAGAGTATTTTGTACTGAGTCTAAAAACCTAACCTTGGTAACCTTATGGCAACAGAAGCCATTTCCATTTCAATTTAACTCAAGTCACCAGTTCAATATTAATTTTAATGTTAATTTTTTTCCACTAGAAATATGATATCATTATAAAGAACAGTTAGACTAAGCAATGATATATAATTTACCATGCCTCAGACTTCAGAATGAAACCCTATGTGTATACTGCTTCCAATAATACTCCATTAGTTATCAGTTAAACATATACTAATGGACCTCTATAAAATAATGTTTAAAGAACTACAAGGACCTGTCATAAGCATATCCTCCAACACTGACAAAGTGCCTTTTCCCAGAATAATGTGTTTGATAAGCCATCACTCTCAGAACTCTAAACAAAGTTTATTATGCTCTTAGGATATCATTCCTCAACATAATAGTGTAGATTACTAAATATGGTTTCTAATCTTATGTGACTGTCTCACATTCATCTAAATCAGTTTGTGTGTTTCTTGAGGGCAAGGTATCACAGGGCTACATACATAATAAATGCTAATGAAGCATCTATGATAATTAAGTATGAATCAGAGTGCAGAATCATGGGATATTAAAGCTGAAATGGGTCGTAGGGATCTACGGGCCTAATGACCTCATTTTCCAATTAAGGAAATATTAATGGACCTTTGAGTGTACACTGATGTCAGACATGCCATGGAATTTGCTCGTGGCAGCCCCCTAGACTGATAAGGTAAAAGAATCAGAGAGGTCAAGTGATGTGTCCAAAATCACACAGCCAGTCAGTGCTGACACTGGGACTCCAACCAAGGTGATTGGAGACCAGAGCCTGTCCTTGGATGAAGCCCAAAGACAGATGTTGACTGACTTAAACATGATCGTATGGCTGGCTGTTACCCCCTCAGTCCTAGAACTCAGATTGGCTGACCACCCAGTGCAGTTGCTCATTGTCGGACCCATTAGTGCATATATTAAGTTGAAAAAGAGTTTCTATCTGGTGATGCTATTGACTATAATTTCTCATGTTTATATAGTAAAATTTGAAAAGAATGTACATGTAAATTACCCCTGCAAAATTGTTTCTCTGTAACATAAACCTTAGAACTGAAAACGTCAACTTAGTTTCTCTTCCAGTATTTAAATAAGCCACAGAGGCTCAGAGAGGTGAAGAAATGACTGCAAGACCACGCCACCACTAAGGTAAGACATGGAACAGGGTCTTACCCTCCTGAGGCAGGGCTGCCCCCCAACCCCAAACACACTCTACTTCCATGTATTGACAGAGCCTCTGTCTTCCATGCTCTATAAACCCACATTCCAGATCCTTCTGAAACTTCCCGTTTATCTGATTACTTTCATTTGTATTTACAAATACTTCCAATCTCTAATCTACTCCCTATGCATTCCTGTCCATATCAGATTCAGTTATGTGCATCCTCACATTAACTTGTTGCCACTTGCCACCTACTCAGTGGGAAACTCTGGCCACTGCCACAGTTGCCTCCCTTCCTAACACTGCTGATGCTCCCCTGCTTCCACAGAGCAATCCTGGGGGGCCTCCATAGTGCCCAGCATGGCAGCAGCTGTGGGAGCTCCAGCACAAAGTCCAGCCTACAGACCAACAGAGGCTCTTGTCACCAGGCATGGGATATGGATTTTCCACCAGCTGCCCAAAGGGGCCAAGTGACAACAGAAATGGGGTAAACTCTGACCAGTGAGCATCTTAAGGCAAGAAGGAACCAAAAGATAAATTCATTTCATTTCTTTCCCACAGTGAACTTCTTCAACATGCAGTGGTTCCGTGGAGACATCCTCTGTACCAAAGTTCCAGCTGCTTTCTTCTGCAGCTGTGGCCAGTGCAGTAACGCCCGCCTTCCCTCTCTGCCTCACACTCCTTTCCCCTTCTCTCTTACTGTCCTGGGATTGCATTCCCCAGTAAACATTCACATGAACGCTCTGTCTCAGACTGTTTTCTACCCAACTCAAGTAATAAAAGCCTAAATTTTGGAGTAATAAAATTCTTACAAGTTAAAAATATTCTTTTACAAACTCAGCTGGCAATTATTGTGGATGAACTTTTTTCTGAGATCTCTTGAGTCCTCGCAATGGGGAGAGGGGGCATATAAGAGGAAGCACAGAGGAAGTAGCAGTAAAGCTTACTATGGGCCTCTGCTTTTCTCTCCAGTTTGAAAAGCAAATTAACATCCCTGCTATCAGCAGATATCTGATGTTTATTATTGAACATAGAACCTAGAAGAGGTCTTCAAGTGAAGTAAGGAAATGAATGCATATATTCTTCTAGGATATCTGGGATATCTTGGCAATCACTTTTAGTATGGAATCTTTGGATTGCTATAAGCTCAATGATTGGAGCCAGGAACTCTCACCCCATTTAAAGCTAGATGTTAGCTATTCCCTCTGATCCTGGAGAAGTAAGGTGGTTTAATTAATGGAAAGAAAGGCCTAGGAAAGAAGCTAGCAGCTTTCAAAACTCAAAAACATCAGCACAGCTATATTAATCATGATTTTTATTTTCTCTGTTTTATGATGCTTTGACTTGTAGGGTGTCTTGCAGACCCCAGAGGGACTGCTCCTCCTAGGATTAGCTGATGTCTAGAAATAGCAAACAACTTGTCCATGAGCAGGGCTTTATATACAAACCAACCAATTCAGAGCCCAGACCCCAACCACCTCCTTTATCAAACTCTCATACACCAAGCCAATATTCACCCTGCCCTAAATCACTCCAGGGCCAGGTACAGGATAGCTAGGGACCACTACTACAGCCAAAACTTGTCAAAATTATCCAAACTACCCAGTCCTAAACTATTTAATGTGCCCTGTCTTAAATTTCCCAAAGAGATAACAATGAAGTCTTGAGCCCATACTTTCTCCTCCTCTTCCTGCTTCCAACCGAAGCTGGGGCTTCCTCAGGTGGCCCTGCATGGAATGCCATGCTTCCTGTTTCCAGAGATCTGTGAGCATAAACTTCTTTCATGAAATCATTTCTGTGTCTGCATGTTTTGCCACACCTGATTAAAAACAATCTCAGGTACATTTTTCAAGACACCAGCCAAACAGGGCCCCTCCTCAGAGATCTGACTTTTAACTGGATGGGGCCTTGTCCCTAAATGTCTAAGTTTTAGTAATTTCAACCTCTTTCCTTGGCTTCCCCAGTCTTAGCAGGTGGTAGTTGTTTCCTGCAGTTGCTACATCCATAACAAAGACAGTTTCTTTTACCTTTGTAGTTGAATATCCTTTATGCCCAGTCAACAATTCTGCACGAAAATTTTTTCTGTCAAAATAACTGTTGTGTCTTCTCCCTCTTGACTAGACCCTAATGAATACACAATTTTAGGGTTAATTCTGGCACTTGGTTTGCATCAGAGCTTAATAATTTATTCATAGTTCATGAGATATTGCCAAGGTAGGGGGAAGTGTGTGTGGAATAAACCAGCCAGTAAAAATTCTGGGAAATCAAAGAGATTCAGATCAACTTACAATGTGTCATTCTCAAAAAAACAATGCTAAATTCCTCATACTTGCCAATTCCTCGTCTTATGCCGCAAAGATATTCTAAATCTTCACCTTTTATTAAATCAATGCTGGAGACATATCCAAGTATT